TTCCTCCTGAAAAATGAATGCCTTCACACCCTGCCCTGGGCTCCTGCTTTCAGAGGAGGGCAGTTTCCCTGTAAATACTGTAGGACTTTGGATGTACATGAAGAGAGGAGGCCGTTGCAGGTCCTTTGAGACATTTCACCCGCACTCTAAAGGAGCCTTTTGATTTCGTGCCCGTCTGTTCACTTGGGGCATCTGTATATAAGTCATGCTGACGTGACACGGAGACTTTTGTTATGTGAAGATATTTAAGCCAGAAAACTGTTAAATAATATTACTTCTTTTCCAAACTGCTTTGTGTAGTGTATATTTTTTTAGGTGGCTGGGTTTTGGTGGGGGTGGGTGGGTGGATTATTTCATTTAGCGTCATGGTGCTGGACTGAATATCAGCCCTGGAGTGTCCCTTGTCCATCAGTGTGCACACCTGGCCACGACCACCTGTAATCTTGCTGATGTTTTAAAAGTTTTACTTTCCAGGCACTTAAAAAAAATATCATTCTGTATAAGTATCTAGGTAATATTGACATAGCCGAAGGTCGAAATGATGGAATTTAAACGTTTTTTCCTTGTTGGTTCATGCATTTTGCTTTCAGCATTCCGTGCCAACCCCAGGGCAGCGTCTAGAGGGCGCTGTGTAACTTCTCACTGCACAGGCCCCAGCCCATCCATCTAAAGCCACTTTCGAGATTGATTCAAGAAAAAGGGGGAAAGGCCCTTTTGTGACTTTCCTCCATCTGATTTCCAGCAGGCCCGAGAGTGTTGTGATGCGCCCCTAATTGTGGAGACTGTTGCTGTGTTAAACACCCCAGCCACCCGTGGTCTGGCAGACAGAATTTCACTTGCATGTTTGCCGGTCAGTCTTTATCGGTCAGGGACAGAATTCTCCTCTGAAGGAGATTTCCAGCCTCACACCTGCCCAGGGTGTGGAGACCGAGAAATGCATTTTTAGAAATAGCTCTTCACAGCGCATCTACTTCGGAATAGCACAGATAAATTTTAAACATGAATTAGGAACATGGCTGAATTTTTTTTCTTTTAAAATATTTAGTATGCAGTAATCTGGCACATGAATTCTTCTCAGCTTTCACGGTATTGCCCTTTAGCTCTGTATAACACTTGGACCATGAGCACTTAACCTTGATCTTGTAAAGTCTAGTGGAGGTCAGCAGGTTTCGAGAATGAGGACACGCACTCTGGACCCACGGGGGTGAGAGTTAAGTACTGATGTCAGGCCCTTGTGCCGGGACCTGGTCCAGCGAGCCCGGAGAGTTCACGGCTGCCTCTCACCCGAAGGCACCTGTGCAGCCTCTAAGGGAACCCCGAGGCCGCAGCCCTTTCCAAAGGGGGAAGCGCAGAAGTCGGCTGTCATTTGTTTGGTCTTTCGTACGTACGGTGTCGAGACGGCTCTGACGCGGAGCAAGAACACCAACAGGAAAACAAGCAGTCTTTCCAAACACTGGAACTTGGCAGCCGTAGCTGCAGGCCCCTGCCCCAACAAGGTCTGCTCTTAGCCTTCTGTCGCATTTGGGTTGTTCTGGACGAGCGTGCCATCAGAGGAACCCCATCACACAGGGAGCCAGCCCCTCGGCCTGCCTCGCCCCTCACGCCATGTCTTCTGGGTGAGGCGTCTCTTCCCTCCCATCGTGAATCTCCTTTTCTGAACAATGGCTCCTGCCCGTGGCTCATCTTGATTGGCGTCCCAGGGCTGTGGGCGCTCGGTGCGGTGCACACAGTCCCTCCGAGCGAGACGCGGGCTTCTGTTCTGCCTGGACTGCTGCTCTGGGGCGAGCGAGTCTGGACTTGTGGAGACAAACCTTCGTAAACGTGAAGCTGGGAGCTCACTGGCCCGCGGGGCTGGTGCCTTTTTAAAGAGCGTGTTTCAGATTCATGGAAACTGCCTTTTCCTGATGATTTTAAACAAGAGCTCCTCCAGCCTTTTGTGGAATTTCCCCTAGAAGCTTCTTTCCAAGTCGGGTCCCCCTCACAGTTCATCCAGGGACTGGCCTTTGAAAACTTCACAGTTTCCTCAAGCCTAGTGGGTGGTGATGGAGGTTGAGGTGGAATCACAGCTAGAGTGGGTGGTGAGTGGGGTGGAGGTGGAATCAGCCGTAGTGGGTCCTGAGTGAGGAGACTGAATCTCATGGCAGGGGCTTCTGTAGGACTCACTTCCGTTAGCCAAGTAACCAAATTCCGGACATGGTCGGCTCTTAGGATAGTCAAGTGGATGTCAGGTGTCAGTCTGATTCCTCAATCCAGTTGTATCTTAGCCATTGTTTAAAAAGAACAATTTCTTATACAGAATGATTTGCAAGATGTGGGTCGTACACACCCCTAGTAAGGAAAGATCAGTAAGTCACACGGCCTCATCCAGTGGGAAGCAGCCGGTCCAGACCCCTCCTGGCATGTGCACAGCGACCTCCTCTTTCTCCCTGGGGGCAGCCCCGTGTGCGGCCTGTGGTGGTGGTTACACAGGCATGGCCAGTAAAATGCTTGCACATGGTCAGAATAGAGATCAGTCCCTCTCAGCCGCAGAGCTCAGCACGAGTTCAGAAGCACGTTTGCCACAAGCCCTCCTTATTCAATGTGATTGCCCTCCGCATGAAGGCTTCCGCATGAAATCCGCTCACCTCTTCTTCGGGCTCCTCAGATGACCACAGCCATTCACGACTGGTTTGCCACTAAAGAAAAATTTAATCATTTAAAAAAAAATCATTTTATTGGGGGCTCGTACAACTCTTACCACAATCCATCCATTCATCCATTGTGTCAAGCACATTCGTATATATGTTGCCATAATCATTTCCAAAATGTGTTCTTTCTACTTGAGCCCTTGGTATCAGCTCACTTCCCCCTACCCCCTCCTTCCCTCTTCAACCCTTGATAGTTTATAATTTTTTTTTCATGTCTTACACCTACTGCTGCCTCCCTTCACCCACTTTTCTGTTGTC